TGTGCCGGAGAATTCCTCCAAAGGAGGAAAAGCCCTCCTAAGCACAGGGTATGGGTTTTGGTGGATCTTCATAATAATACACTTGCTAAGATAATTATAATAAACAGTGCATACCAAGCCCCAAACAGAGAAGAGCTGAAAAAATTAAACCACGGCTGTTCCTATCTCTGCAAAGAATTACAGAGGAAGTCATGACCTAGTCAATATTCCTAACTCAGGGCTTCCCAGGGTGCATTTAACATTTTTTTGGATTGATTTATTTTTATTTTATGTATATGTGTTTTGTCTGCCTGTATGTAAGTGCCCCCATGCATGAAATGCCTGTAAAGGCCAGAAGAAGGCATCGGATTCCCTGGAACTGGAGTTCTGGATTGTAGTTGGCCACCATGTGGGTGCTGGGAACCAAACTCAGGTCCTTTGCAAGAGTAGCTAGTACTCTTAACCACTGAGCCATCTCTCCAGGCCCCAATATTAATTTCTAAATCCCCAGTTTAATCTGTGATTATGAAGTACAACACAGATCAAGAGAATTTTTGAACAGGAAGGAATTTTTTCCAATCAACTAGATTGGGGCTTCTCTAATAAATATTTCCAAGAACTCTATAATAAAATACATGGGCCCAGTAAAAGTTTAAAAAACAAAACAAAACCCAAAACCCTATTCCATGGGTCAAATCATTTTAGGAAATTCCAAGTTAGAGAGAGTTAAATAGTTTTTTGTTTGTTTTTTACCACAGGATATGGCAGAGTCAGGACCGCACAGCCTCTCTGCCTTTGCTGGAGCATCTGTCCTTCACCCTTGATTCTGGACGGGCTCTGTCTGTAATAAGATAGAGCAGAAGTGTTGCCGTGCTGGTGTCTGTGGCTGCTGGCATCCATGTTCTGCATGTCTGGTCTCTCGCTAGGCTTGCTCTGAAGGGCTCTGCCAGGCTGCCTCACCTAGCCACTGGGGAACGTGAGCTGCCAGTGCAGGAGCAACCACTGTGGGCTCACACTCATGTTCCCATGGCTGCCACCCAGCCACGTCTGATGAAGACTAAATGAGAGCAGCCTACCTGAGCACTGCCGACCGTCAGCACACTCATGGGAGAGAAGGTCATACACTACTGTGTTATAATAAATGCCACCCGGTTTGAGGGGGGTGGTTACTCTGCAGCCTAGCACACAGTTTGTGAGTGGTAGCCAATGAGTGAATAAAGGACCAAGCAATGTAAATGTGAATCTTTAATTGGGGGATACAGCCTGTTACATTTTCTAAATGAGACATCTGAACACTGAGATAAGTCACACAGAGAACTTGATAGACACTAGCTATCAACTTGATAGACACTGACTGAAAGGGCTGAAGTGACATAGTTTTGGAAATACTTGTCTAATATAACCCTTTGTGTTACAGAGTTGAAAAGTGAGGCACAAGTAGGCAAAGAGGAAAAAAAACTAAGTGGCAGACTCTACCTTTGTGCTAATGTCCTAGCTAAAGGGGATGGTGGGCAAAATGGCTCCATTTATGTAACTAAATTTCAGCTAGTTAAATGTAGCCAGCTTCTCACTAGGCAGCCCTTGCTCTGTTCCATGGTAAGGTCTTTGTGCTCACTTGACATGCTCCATGAGACTTCCCAAAGAGGATATAACATCATTAACCTGAAATTTAGGCTAAACTTCAGTTCTCAAAATGATACCATCTATAGCAACATCTAAATCTTTGATTTTAAAGTGTTTGCTGGGACTGGAGAGATGCTCAGTGGTGAAGAGCACTGAGTGCTCTTGCAGAGGACCTGGGTTCAGTTCCCAGCATCCACATGGCAGCTAACAATCCTGTATAATTCCAGTTCTGGAGGATCTGGATCCCTCTCCTGGCCTCTGTGGGGACTGCAGGCACAGGTGCACTTACATACATGCAGGCAAAACAGTCATGGACAGAAAATAAAAATAAAAATTAAAACCTAAGAAAATAAAACAAAATTCTTGGATAATGGAAACCTTGGCTTAAACTGAAATATCTGGGGACAAGTTTTCAGCTGACTTAGACACTGGGGAGGGTCTGGGTTTTAGTTTTTCCTTTGGTCTTGGACTACCAGTCTCACTTTCCTTCCTCCATATGAGAGGTAGTAATGACCTGAAGTTCAATTCTGCTTCTAAAACCATGCAGAGGATGTCAGTGCTCACCTGGTCAAGTGGAGTATTCCATTTCACTCCTCAGATCCCATTAGGGCCTCTGCCACAGTTTTCCAACCAAGCCTCCAAAGCTAAGACCCACTTGGAGAGTTGAAAAAAGTTTTATCTAATTATCTTCTTTCCATACTTTGAATTGGCCAACTATGCATCATCTTCTAGTTTTATCAAAGGGGCTGCCAGCACAAAAGCACATCCAAATTTAAGCAGGCTTTAGTTAGCAGACTTAAAATTGATCATGCATTTTAGTTTCAGTAACTTGCAATTTCTATACCCTTTGATAATTCACTTTAAAGAGCAAACTGTCTTTAATGACAAGGTTTAAAAGAGACGACCTTTCTGAACAAAATATGAAAGCTCAGAAGAGAGAGTTCTTTTAAGGAAACTATGAATTAAAATGACCTTGTGTTCTGAAACTTTTCTCCCACCGTTTTTGATGTTTTACCTTTCCTTTTTACCCCTAGACAGAAAGCTACAACACCACTGCCTTCTCTGGCTGGCGATGCACTTCAATGAGGGCGCTGTTAATTGTTAATTCAAACTCCCAGTTTCTTCTGTCTGCACTTTTCTCTGCAGACTCCCTTAATGAGGTTGCTCACCACTATAAGCATATGCCTGTTTCTGAAGAAATCACTGTTAATATGCTGCATCACAGGATGATCTTTGCATCTGAACTATTTCCCTCGAGTCACCTGCATGTCAATACTTCTGTGCAACCTATGAAGCAAGTCTTCCCACTGTTCCCTGTGCCTTCAACGTCCTTCTTTTCTGCTGTATTCCTTTAGCAGCGTTTGTGGAGTTCTCTATTGAGTGGGGAGACTGCAGAATCAAGAGGCCTCTGAAAGGCCTCACTGTTAGGGGATATAGAAATGGACTGAACGGAACTGTGATATATACAGGAGATATAACCACCAACTTCCCTGTGAGCTTTCCTCTTCCCTGACCCCTACAGAATAGCCAGGTACTAACACCCAGCAACAAGACTGGACCCCAGAGCTTTCCTTCTCTGCGTTTTCCAAATGCTTCATGCTACCACCTGTAGACAATCACATGCTGAAATACAAAAAGCACAGATAGATGCTCAGGTATGAGCGCCAACAATGACGCCTGGAGATGCAGCTAAATTAGGTACTGTGATGAACAATTGATCTTCCACCAGATAAAAGAAAGAATGAAATCTTAGATGATTTTATAATAAGGCACAGTGCTTATAATTTATTTCCTGAGCACTTGTTTTTGCTCCCAGTAGCCATTTATATACTCAGTGCTTAACTCAGTAAGGAATTTCAAGCATGCTAAAAGCAATTTTTCTTTCTCTTCCTTCATCAGAGAATGTCCACAAAGACACAAGTGTCAACTACCCATTCCTATCACATCCAATCAAACTGACCCCGCTTTACTCCCATATGCACAATGCCCTTCAGAAGGGAAACAGGATCTGGGTAATGTCAAAGGTTTACCAGTGTTTGTAATTTCATAACCCCTGAAATAAGGAAAAGAAAGAATAGCAGGCAACTTTCCAAAACACCTACTGATATTTACTCATGGAGAACAAATATTCTTGAGTGGGAGAGTTCCAATCCCAGTGAACAATACAATTCACAAAATATTTTCACTTCAGGCTGCTAATAACCTTACTAATGAAATCTGTTGAGCTTCAACCTGATTTTCATGGTCCTCACAGAAGTACTTAACATTGATCTTAAAGCCTTAATCGTTCCCTCCCAAATATTAAGTCACAACCTGAGTATCAGTTGTCCTTACTTGTTAGGTGGTTTTCATAGCATCTACTATGATTTTGCTTTTTTTGTGAGCATTCTTGAAGAATGTGCAATCTTTCACAAGACACTTATATTCTTGGAGGAAGTTTCCAGGGAGGGGGACATCTGAGTGGCACCAGGAAAATGGTGGGCTCACAAAGATGACTTAGTGCAAGATGCCAGCCTCCTACTGATGGCCACCACATAGCCTGATACTTGTCCTGGCTTTGGAAGTCCCTATGAAATTGGGTACTTCCTCATCTTCCCCAGACCCAGTGCAAGGAAGGGTAATTAATTTGTGGGCAGCAAACAACAGACAAGTTTGGGTATGGAAAAGGAGAAATGAATTTTGAATAAGTGTAAATAAACTCTCTTCCCTGCACTTTTACAGGAAACAAGAATGATTACAGCCCTACTCACATGTTACATTTTTAGAGAGTGTCTCAAAAGGCCCATGGCATGTCCCAGGGTCTCTCAAGACAATGTGAAGCATCTACACACTGCAACTCAGCATTTTCTTGGCAAATCAGGGCTGACCAATCAGCACAGAGCTGCATCCAGTGCTGGCATGGGTAAAGCAACCAGGCTTAAATACCCATTCATAAGAAAACCACCAGTCTCTCAACATGGAGGCACTGCAGTAAAAGGAGACCAACGATGCACAGGTGTGACAGCCTGCCAATGAGCTGTGTCCTCCTAACATGGCCCTACACTGTTAGGCTTTCTTAAGGATCATTGATGAAAGTGACAGTCAAAATAACAACTGAAAGAAAGACCAAGAAAGTAACGTGAAAACCAGAGCTTTCTACATAGCACTCCTGCCCAGCACGGCACTGCTGCTGGAGCTCCAGGGGCAGACTGGAGTCCACCACAGATATCAGATGACCCAGTGATTTGATTCCAAATACCAATTTCAAGCACTAATTATAGATTTGATTTTTGGCAGGACATAAGGTTGTTTTCCTCCAGAGTAGGAATTGAGATTGTCAGTATTTGCTGGAGAAAAATACCAGGTATGACATCACATTTATTTAGTCAATGAGGTGTGATAAAAACTAAAAAGAAAACTAAAAAGCACAAAATGATATTTTAATAATATATGAACATGAACATGGGAATAACATACTCAGGTTAAAATTCTGATATCATACTACAACCGTGATTCTGCTCATACTCACTGGTAGGACTATGCAAAGCATTAACAAGGCATATCGTAAGCGATAACGTTTTTTCTCGATATAAGCAATTCTGAGCATGCGCTCTAATACATACAAGTATGGGAATGAGAAAGAAAAGATGTTGAAAAATAACTTAGGCAGACACAATAAAACCACCCCACTAGTGTATGAATGATACATGTTTTTATGGTCTTAATTACATGTAAGCATTCTAAAAAAGCCACTGATCTCATAGTTTACAATATTCAAATCTTCAAACCTGCTGGAAGAAGTCCATTCAGACAAAGGAGTGCAGCTCGGACAATCACATCTATTACTTTCTCCCATGCAGTTACCTGAAAACCAAAAACCTCAATTAGGAGTTTTAGGCTTAAAAGGTCTGTCAAATGAAAGATGTGTTACAATTCTGAAGGAGTTGGAGGTTAAAAAGGGATATTTGCTATCAAAATTTCATCATGTATACCCATAAGCAGCAAATCTTATCAACATTTGGAAAACAGAATCTTTTGAAAAGTGAATGATTCACAAGCTCTTTCCTTTTATTTCAAAGCCAAGTAAGCTGCTCAGTCTTTCACCGTACTTAAAAGCAATGTTGCTTGACTGATCTAGACCAAGTGAACATCACCCTAGTCAGTGACATCACTGGGAACCTTTGAGAAGGTCTCAGCATCCCATAGGCTTGTACACTGGGGCATTCCATCTCTGTGAATGTTTCAACATCATAAAGCCATTGACTTATTCTGCTCTGGAGAACAGTGCCAAACCCCCAAGGGATAGGAGACTTTGAAGATGTGAGCCATCACAGAGAATTGTGTCATCTCACTGTCTTAAAGGGAGATGGTGTCTCCTTCACTCTGCATCTGGGCTTCAAGACCACACCTTGCCTGACTGCCCAGGTGAGGCCCCCACTTGCCACTCCCTGAGACTCCTTCATCTTGTTCTGATGAGTTCAAGCCCTGTGATTAAAAGAGGTGGGTGTCTTCTCAAAGACAGGTTATTTACTAAAAATATGTCTTATTTTCAAAACTGATTTTATGTCTAGGCATTTCAGTGATGATCTGAATGGCAAGGTAAGATACTCCCAGGTGTAAATAATACGAATCAATCAGAAGGCATTTTATTCATGCGCTGTACCTTCTGCCTTGGTAGGTGGTCAGTTCTTCTTGAAGAATGGATGCTCTCTTTTGCAGAAAGTTGACCTAGAAAAACACATGTTATATAAGAAAGGGTGGGTGCAAATGTCAGTACTGTGTATCTACTGTACAATACTGGTAGGTTAAGATTATATTCAAATTCAGAGAATCCCCTAGGTAAGACCCAGAGGAGGTGTTAATGATGTGTTTTCCTCCATTTGGTCACAGCTTAGCCCTAGTGAAAATCTATCAAAGGTCGCAGAATCAATTTCAAACTACCAGAGCCATCTCCATTTGGTCTTTCCTCATGCCCTTCCCACCACCATCACTTCACACACCATGGTGTTCACACTCTCTAACCCTTTGGAGGGGACCATTTCTCATTTTAGAATGCTTGGCGAATTGTCTCCTATTTGTCCTCCAAGACTGGTTCAAATGTCAGCCTTCCCCTTACTCCCCAAGTGCTGGCAGCCGCCCAGCTCGGTACCAGGACAGCAGCTCCCTCTTCTGTGTCCTGTACTCAATAACTGGCCCTTCTCACACTGCCTTGTGGTTTTGTTTTTGACTTTCCCCCAAACCTAAGAGCTCTTCTGGGAGGGATGACTCTGTTTATCTCTGAATGCCCAGTTTCTTTTACAGGGCTGGGCATGTAGCTGGTATTCACTAGCTGTTTAATGAGCGAATGAGTGAGTGAAAAGAAAATTACTGCTTTCTGGAAACCTCAATCCGTCCTGGGGATTCCCTGAGGTTAGAGAGACAGTATTTTGTAGTGGAAAGAGCCTGAGCATTACCTGGAGTTAGGCCAACATGAGTTCCATTCCTGGCTTGGCCCAGAAGGCTCTAGGAAGGTTACTCAGTTCTTGCTTCCTCACCTGTGAAATCGGGTTATGACAGCTGCTTCCAGGATGATGAGGGTGCTGAGATATGAATCCTAGAAAGTGCCCAGGGTAGACCCCATAACCCAAATCTGGGGGGTGGGGACTATGGGGTAGAGGGAACTGTGTTGCCTAGCATGATCTCTTAAATCAGACCTTTAAATGTATTTAATTATTTTGAGGCATAAATTTCTATATAATTAATGATACTTTTATCAGGCATAAATTCAAAACACCTTACCTAACCAAATAAAAACAGTTTAGGGATAGCTGATACTATGGTTTAATGTAATCAAGAGTCAGTGGCATTTGATCTGCTCAGAATTATTTACTCTTGCCTCTTTGGTTGAACTGAAACCATGGCAACAGGCTGGTTGCAAGGCACAGTTATGTAAGAGTACAGCTGGCAGAACCAAAACGGCTTGAAGGGGAGGAAGACACAGTCTGTTCAAATGGGTGCATATCAAAGTGGTCCCATGGGGTTTGCTTATTTGTAATTTCACCCTGTTCTTCATTGTATCCAATTGTTCAAATGACCCACAGGACAATTGATTATTCTGACAGATGCAAGGATCAGGAAGCTGTAATGTCCCTCCCCCACCCTGCACTGAGATTGGAATTCCAACAATTTTCAAAAAGCACAGGCACCTGTGCTTTCAAACTAAATCCGCTCACTCCACGGACTGACTCCTCCGAGCAGCTGCCAACTCTGAGGCCCTCATGCAGCTGGCAGCGCTCTCTGGGTCACCGTCCAGCTTCAGGAAGCTGAAGTGGCTTTTATTGCAGTGAAATGATACGAATGATAACAGAGGCCATGCAGGTGGTTACTGGATCCCCCTCTATACCTCCAAAATAAAATCCTCCTCTGAAGGTGTCAGGGCCTTTGTAGGGCTTTTCCCATGAAGTTAGAGGAGTCCTTTTCATGTAAATGAAAGTTGCTTAGCCGTTTGTGTTCTGATCTCCTTCATCGTTTATTTTCACATGCAGGCACAGGAGCCTTTTAGCCCATAAGCCACGAAAGACAGTAGCGGGAGGATGAATGGAAAGGACTTTTCATTTTCAGTCTTTTTAGTGAGGGAAATATGGAAATATCAGGTAAAAAAGCTTCAGGCTGGCTGGCATGGTGGCTCAAGCCTATAACTCAGCAAGTAGGAGGCTGAAGCAGGGGAATTGCTAAGAGTTGGAATCCAGTCTAGGCTGCACAGTGAGTTCTAGGCCAGTTTGGCCAAAACAAAACAAAACAAAACATCCCAAACAACTTGCTTTACATATAAACAACTTGCTTACATTATAAACACCTGGTATGAATAATATCCAGCTACATGATTATTTTATTATTATTTTAAAAATATTTTATTTATTATTTTTATTGTTACGTGCATGAGCACATTGCAGGGATATAGGTAAGTGCATCTGTGTCATGCAATGCTTGGGAGAGAGCATCGGATCCCCTGGAACTGGAATTACTGATGGTTGTTAGCTGCCATGTGGATTCTGGGAACCGAGCCTGGGTTTTCTGCAAGAGCAGCTGGTGATCTTAACTGCTGACCCACCTCTCCTGCCCTAATTATTTTATTATTTATTGAGCACCTGCTACATGCCAGTACAGTTGTTGGCATTCAGAGTACAGAAACACCTTCCCTGTGGGATCACTGGAGGAGCAAAGATACCTTGTTTTCCAGCATGTCGGAAATGGAAACAAGTGAATTCCTCACGTGGGGATTAACTAAAAAAACTCATAGACTAGCAAAGCATAAAACATTCAAAGAAAAAAAAAATGCTTAGAAGGTTTTTGTTTGTTTGTTCTGAGACAAGGCTTTGTCACGTAGTCCAGCCTGGCTCTGCGCTTGCGATTCTTCTGCTTCCATTTCTCAAGTACTTACCTTACATTTTATGAAATGTACTAAGGACCACCTGTTTCAATAAGAAACACAAATTGTTTGAATATCTTCTTCTTATCTTGCCCTGAGCTTAAAAACCATCTTATCTCTGAAAATCATATAAAACACACCAGAAAAAAAAAAAAAAAACATGCTTCTAATGTAATGATGCATCTGCCTCTCTACAGTTCCTTCCGGGGAGCAAGGAACCAGCAGTGAGCTCTGAAACGGTGTTTTGAACCTGGAAGCAGGGATAAAGGTGAGGCTGCTTTGGAATGCGAATGGATAAGAGTTACCATGGCTGAACTTTCAGTTTCCAGGGGGCAAAACCAGATCATAATGGGTGGTGGGTAACGCTTGGAGAGCACATTGATTTCTGGTAACAATTCAGAAGCTTATTTGCAAGCTTCTTTTCAGAATGTGCAGCCCACCCACATCCTTGGAGAGCACGCTGGCTCTCGGAATCACCTGTGATTTCAGGGAGGCAATGGTGTCTTCAAGTTCCTGTCTCAGAGATGCTGGCATCAGCCCTTTGAATTTTGTTTCATATTCCTGTCGTATGTATGTCATCTAAAACAGGAAAAAGAAATGTCTGTTTTGGATTTAAGAAATCCTAGGATAATATCCATTCACCCCCAAATAAGTTCTTTATACGTATTGTCAGAAACCATACAATAAAAATGACACCAAGAGTCATGGACACTGACAAAGCTGAGCAGACCGGGCGCCTTGTAATTCTGGGAAAGATGGTCCCTAGAAAAGCTTTCCTGTGAAGTCCCCGTTAAGGTGCACAAATAAGAGAGCACACACAGCGTTTGTCTTTCTGGGTCCAACTCACCTCGCCCAGTACAAAGTTTTCTAGTTCTGTCCATTTACCTGCAAGTTTCATCTTTCTTTACAGCTGACTAGAACTCCATTGCATATATACTGCATTTTCATTACCCATTTGTCAGTTGAGAAACATTTGGTTGTTTCCATTTCCTATCTATTATAAAAAGAGTGGCAAAGAACAGGGCTGAGCAAGTATCTCTGTAGTATAATATAGAGTCCTTTGGGTGTATGCCAAGGAGTGGTGTAGCTGGGTCATATGGTAGATCTGTTTTTAGTGTTTTGAGTATTCTTCACACTGATTCCCATAGTGGCTGCCCTAGTTTGTAATACTACCAACAGCGAATGAGGGTCTTCTCTCCCCATGCATGCTAGCCACATTTGTTGAGTTTTCTTGATCTTACTCATTGTAACTGCGGTAAGATGAAATCTTAAGTAGTTTTAATTTTATTTCCCTAATTGGTTAAGGATGTTGAAAACTTTTAAAGATATTGCTCAATCATTTTCATTTCTTTTGAGAATTCTGATCAGATCTGTAGCCCATTTTTATTAATTTTTTACTTATTTAATTAATTTATTTTAATTTTATGTGTATGACAGTTTTGCCTGCATGTATGTAAATGTACCCATGTCATGCAATGCTAGTGGAGGACAGAAGGGGACATGGGATCCTCTAGTGTTACCAGATGGTTGTTAGTCACCACGTAGGTGCCGGGGAACCAAACCCAGGTCCTCTGTGAGAGCAGTAAGTGCTCTTAACTGCTGAGCCATCTCTCCAGGCCCTGTGGTCCATTTTTAAATTGGGTCACTTGTTTTCTCTATTCTTTGCCTTTTGAGTACTTTGTATACTCTGGATATTAATCCTCTATCAGATGTTTAGCTGGCAAAGATTCTCTTCCACTCTACGGGCTTCCTCTGCACTTGACTGATTGCTTCCTTTGTTGCACAGAAAGTTTTTCGTTTAATAAAGTCCTATTTGTCAATTGTTGGCTTTATTCCTGAGCAACTGAAGTCCTATTCAGAAAGACCTTTCCCACCCTCAAGTCCTGTAGGACATGCCTCGTTCTTCCAGGAGTTTCAGCATTTCAGGGTTCACACCAAGTCCTGATCCATTTGGAGATGATTTTTGTGGATCCTAGCTCCAAATCTTTAGATGTGAGTATATAACCTCAGGTAACCACAAAAGCCAGCAAAGCAGAAAGGGACCATGGGAGGTAGAATGCACTCTAGAGAGGAAAATAGTAAGACACAGGTACTGTCAAGGGGGAAATGGGAAAAATGAGGGAGGGACACTTTAAATGGGGAGAGAGGAGTAAGGATAATACAAAGGGAGAAGGAGGAAGGAGAAATAACACTAGGATGTCAGAAAAAGCCATAAGAAAACATTATTCCATAACCTTATTTAAAAATACATGAGTTCATGTGTGTGTGCATGTGCGTGTGTGTGTGTGTGTGTGTGTGTAGCCACAGGCTATCTAACAAAAATTCCAGTGTCAAGCATGGGAAACCTCTCTTTGAGTTGTTGGTCAGGGTATTCCAAGAGACTTCCAAAACAATATAGGCTACTGCCAATGCCCTTGGTTGCCTCCCAGAACTTGAAGGTAAGACCCTATTGCTGAAGACTCCACATACTCTGGACATAGGACTTGGATGAATTGAAATGGAATTGACCTGGAGGCCTCCTTCCTGAGGACCAGTGGTCACAGTACTGGAAGGTGTATGCAAGCTGCCATGGGAAAAAAGCAAACAATAGTTCTACTGAGCTGGAAAGCCTACTAATGAACTTAAAGCCCATTTACAGGAGGGAACTCATACCTGCTACTATAAACCTAGCCAAACATCTGTGGCTGGAGAGATCATAGACCCTAGAGGAGAACCCATTACTGCCACTTTCCTAAGTCAATATTTCTAACTATACTCTAAGTACGTATCCATATATCCATAGATAAATGTAGCTCTCATTACTCATCAAAGAAGCTTCTTTTTGCAGTAGATGGATACTATTACAGAGATCTACAACTAGTAAAAATGCAGAGTATAAGTGACTGTGAAGTGCCTAGCCACAATTGATACGTGTACAACAGAACCCTTACACTGAGGCTCAGCGAACATCATGGAGGAGAAGGCATAAAGACCGTAAGAGGCAGAGGACCAGGGCAATAGTGTCTTCCAGACATGACCGGGAAGCTGCAGCCATGGAACCTCAATAATATGGTTGCCTAACAAGACTTACATAATGACACCACCATTTCACATGTCAGTGTGGCTAGGAGAAGTTTCACAGGTCTCATCTCTAGATGAAGAGCTATAGGCAACCAAGGGCTGCTGAGAGAGGGAGGATCAGATTTCTCCAGGGAGGAGCTCCCTGATAGGTTATCTAATCCTAAGTGGTCAGCCCTAAACACATGTACACAAGCAACACTAAATGGATTTAGTAGGGGGTGTGTGTGTGTGTGTGTGTGTGTGTGTGTGTGTGTGTGTATAACAATAACAATTAAAGAGGTCGTGAAATTGAGGAGGGATGTGGGGAGAGTTGAAAGGGGACAGGGAGGAGTGCAAATGCTGTAAATACAGTATGTATGTATGAAAATAAAAAATCCCTGTTAACACAATTTTCAACATCTGGTAGGTAAAATACCATTTTTTTTTTCCCATTCACAGGGCATGCCACCATGCAAACCCTGCTGCCTTCTCTCCATCAGAATGTGGACTACCTTTATGTTAAACTGTGGCTGAGGACAACTCATAGCATGCCTTGGTATGACTGAAACACTGGCAGGTTCCTGGAGTGCTAGTGGGATTCATGTGGTGATGAAGACACCAACGATGGTGAACCTGCACAGCTGACTTTTCCTCAACAAGGTGGACAGGCGGTGTACCCTGGTCATAGGATGTTTTGGTGGCTCATCCCATTCACATCTCTAAAAGCTAAAAGGTAATGAAGGTGGTGGAAGTTACACCTGTGGAAGATGTGCATGGGTGCCACATGAATATGCATGTGCAAATGGTGCTGTCTTTCTACGTCTATGTTCCTACTAATCTAAAATGTAAGAGAATCACTTAAGAAATCTATTACATGTGCTATGTATGAGTTTACTGAGTTGTAAAGCAGAATTGCAGAGTATTACATACACAATTCATCAAACAACTAGAAGAAAGGAAATACATTATGGAAATGTGTACCGCTGGACAGGCCTATGGACTTGCTGAAGATAATCTAAAAATACTGTCTTGAAAGTCTTAATTTTTATTTCACTAAACTGAATTAAGGAAGAAATGTATCCTACTAATACATTTCATTTCTTACTTAAATTCCATGGTAACTTTCTAGAATGTAGCTTCTTAAACTGTAGGTTCTGACCCCAGATAGGGTTGTATAACTGAATGTGGGGGGACTGCAAAAAATATAGCAACAGTAAAATTAATTAAAAATAAAAATGGGGACTAAAGAATCTAATAAATGAACTAAAAGGTTAACTAGAGGGAGGGCTGGAGAGATGGCTCAGCAGTAAAGAGAACTAGCTGCTCTTACAGAGGAACCATGTGGGTTCAGTTCCCAGCAGCCATATGGGGGCTAACAACCATCCATATCACTAGTTCCAGGGGATTAGACTCCTGCTGGACTTCACACAGGTGAATTTACATACATGCAGGCAAAACGTTCATACACATAAAATAAAAAAATGGATTCAAAGTAAAAGAATTGAAGGTGTTTCTGGCAGAGCATGTCTCACTTGTACTGCATGACTTTGCTGTAGCCTTGGTTCTGAACACACAACATATGCGCTTTCTGTGTCATGCCAGGAACCCCAATGGATACTACCTAAAGCATGATGGCTCAGTTTCAAGGTTTTATATATTACAAATTACAATGGTTTTACTGTATACATAAAGTTTTCCACTCCTACACAAATATAATGGTTTAATTACAGGACATAAAAACTTAGTATTTTCCTCTCATTCTTTAGCATTTATCTTAGTATATCTCTTAAAAACAAATTTTTAAAAATAATTTTTTAGAGATTTATTTGTGTGTGTGTGTGTGTGTGTGTGTGTGTGTGTGTGTGTGTGTGTATACGTACACATACCACATGTCTGCAGGTCCCCATGGAGGCCAGAAGAGGGTGTTGGATCCCCTGGAACTGGAGTTACAAGTGGTTGTGAGTGGCCTAACAGTAAGTGATCTAATCTCAGCTACATTTCTAGTCCCTCAGAATGCAAGTTTTTAATTTTTGGTAAGGCATTCTTCTAAGATCTTCTGTAAGGTTTTATATGTAAATAAAATAACGAAAAGGCTCTGCTGCTAAAATGCTTGTTGGTTATCCTGTCTACTGGTTTTCTTAACCTGATGCTCTTGGACTTAAATGTCAATCATTATGTGTGTTGGCCAATTGAAAACAAAGGCAAAACAAAATACAAACTTTATAAACCATATCTTTTTTTTGTTTTGGTCTTTTTAAGACAGGGTCTCCCTATAGCCGCAGCTATCCTAGAACTCACTGTGTAGACCAGGCTGGCCTTGAACTCACAGAGATCCGCCTGCCTCTGCCTCCTGAGTGCTGGGATTAAAGGCGTGCGCCACCATGCCTGGCTCATATCTTTCTTTGAAAATAATTTTTATTGAGTTTTTGTGCCTTTCATATAATAGATCATAATCAAATTTAGATCCCCCTCCCCATCCTTGCCCCCCCTCACTGGAATTTCATGCATTCTGTTATATATGTTAAGTCTTTTCTGGTCAA